TCGGGTCCTAGACATATTGATTCTCTGACTAATAACTTCCTAAACATAGGATACCAGGGTTGAGCTGTCCATTTTGGTACTACTAAGATACCGATTGCTTTATCATTAATTATTTTCCTGATTATTTTATTAATGATGGTAAAGGGTGGGAAGGCATAAAAAAAAATATGTTTCCAGGATATCAGAAAAGCATCGACAGAGCATGATTCAGGATCTGGTTTCCAAGATACATATTGTTCGCATTTAGAATTCAGATTAGAGGCAAATAGATCTATTTGTGGTTTGCCAAACTTTTTGCAAATTATTCTGAAGTGCTTCTGTGAGAGTTCGTACTCTGTTTCAATGTCTCGACATCTGGATTCGTAGTCTGCTTGAGTGTTTTGTTTAGTATTAATGTATGAGGCATGAAGGAATATATTCTTGCCTTCACAATAGCCCCATATTTCATGAGCGAGATCATTCAATTTCTCAAATTTAATACCCCCCATTCTATTTATATAGGAAATTGCAGTTGTGTTATCTATTCTGATAATAATTTCACAATTATTTTTATTTTTAGTAAAACACTTCAGAGAGTTCGAGGCTGCTTTGAGTTCTAAGAAATTGATGTGTCTTTTGCTATCTGAGTGATTCCAGAATCCTCGAGCTCTTTTATTATTACAAACGGCCCCCCAGCCGTACTTGGATGCGTCTGAATATATCTCCATTTCATATTTCGGCTCCTCGAGAGTCATTCGACTATTACCGACATGATATTGCCACCAGCGTATGTCTTCGTTAATGAAACTTGGTAATTGAAATGTCTTATCATAATCACCGTTATATTCTATTAAGGCCAAATATTTCGCCCTTTCCATTTTTTTTGTATGAACCCACCCGTATTTGACTGCCGGGCAAGCCGCGGTTAATACGCCAATAAATTTAGCAAACTCTCTTATGGAGACATGAGGATTATTTTGATACTTTACAGTCAATTGTTTGATATTTTGTTTCTTCTCTATTGGCAATGTCATGGTCATATCGATAGTATTGAATATGAATCCCAAGAAACGACAATCTTGTTTCGGTTCTAGTTTACTTTTTTCTGTATTTATGATGAAGCCTAATGATTTGAGCAGATTCACGGCTAGGAGAGTGTCATGTGCACATTCTTTATATGTCTGTGATATAATAATCATATCGTCCAGGTAAGCTACGCAAATAATCCCCTGGTTTCGCAAGTGGGACAGTACCGGTTTCAGGAGTTTTGTGAAAACGTATGGTGCTGTGCACAAGCCAAAGGGCAAGCAGTTGAAGTTATATAGTGTGTTTTGAAATTTGAATTTTAGGTACTTTTTATGGTCCTGGTGAATAGGGAGTAAAAAGTATGCATCTTTGATATCAATAGTACAAACATAATTGCCATCATGTAAGAGGTCCTTGACACTACGATAGTCCTCTAATTTGAAATGAGGAGGATTTATAAATGAATTCAATTTTTTCAGATTCAATATAAATCTAAATGAACCATTTGATTTTTGTGTGAGGAAATAATTTGACAGAAACTCCCCGTTTTCGTGTTTGGAATGCGATATCGCACCCATGGTAAGTAACTCGCGGACAATATTGTCCACTGTTGTCATTTGACATGTACTTGTTATATCTGGGGGTTCTGTTCGTTGATATGGTTGTTCTTCGAAGGGAATATTATATCCTTTAGTCCATTCTAAAATTAGAGAACTATCTGTAATGTTCTTCCATACATTGGAATATTTTTTCAATCTACCGGCATAGGTTACCTCTACGTTCTCCTGCGTGGTGGTTCTTTCCTCTTCTCCCCTCCCCATCGCTGTTGCTGGACTGGCCTGTCCTTCCTGCCTCCCTCCTCTTTTTTGCGTCGAAATTTGCTCGATTGGCGCTTGAAGTTTAAAGGAGTTGCTGATGACGTTGTGGGTTGGTTGCTCTGTATCGAATTCGGACGATAAGTTGGCCGGTTGATTCGTTTCAATTTCAAATCAGCCGATGCCTTTTGAATTTCCTTGGTACTTTTGACATTATCGCCGAGGTTGCTCCCAAAAAGCCACTCATCAATTGGCCTGTCCATGACTGTTTTCTTGACCGAGTGATCCAGGGTCCCGGATACGCCATATCGTCGATGCGAGGAGATTGTATGATGAACATCTGCCAAAAGTTTAGCTGCGTTTGCTAAGTGCAGAAGATGTGGATTAGTATCATCTGCAGCTGATGAGAAAAAAGTGTTGAGCGGAATGGCTACTGCGCATATCGCGGCACTCAGTTGTTCCTGTACTTTTGTCAGGAAGCTGTCCTGCTTGTTTAGGTTTTCTGTTAAGCATCCTTGAATTTCGGGGTTCATCTTGGGTGGATTCAGGGCTGGCACGTTGTTAGGAGGTGGATATTTCTCGGTTAGCTCTTTTCGATCTACCTTCTCTATACCCTTCTGCAGAAATATGGTCCATCTACTTGCAATTTGCTCATGCACATCCGGGCCTGTTGGCCTAGTAGCCAACGGGTCCACTCCTAATATCTCTACGGCGTCCACCACCGGTTGTTCCATTATTGGTTGCAACTCGTCAGGAACAGGAGAAAGTACTTCCTGATAACTAACTTGAGAATCGTAATCGCTCTCAGATTCACTTGAACTTGAACTCGAACCTGTGTGAGGAACCAAGCATGAAAATCTATTCACATAATACATTTAGGTATTTAGGTATTAGTATATTCGTAATATCTTCCGATCACCCTGTACAATGGAAGACGGGTGACGTCATTAAAATTTGTTTAATGAACTCAGTTGTGCATGTGCACGATTTTTGTGGGCATGAAATGTTTCAGCCCTTATTTTCTTCGTTTTTGTTGGTAAAGGTATAACATAGCACATGTGTGTAGTTAGGTACCTTGTTTGTTAGCGTTTCTAGTAAATACATGTGTATTTCCATATGAAACGAGAACCAACTAAATTTCGGCATGAAATGTATCAGCCGTTTTTTATTGAATTGCAAAAACTAATGTCTTGCGATCTTCCGCCTTGAATCATCTTGTTCTAAGTCTATTTAAATATATATATACATATATATTTTGATTAAGACATAATAAATTGACGTAACTATTTGAGGAATACGTAATTAATATATTGAACTTACTTTGGCGAATTGATTCCAACTCTTTTTGAATTTTTCTAAGTTTCCGCTGGAATTTGTCCAGTTTATCATTCCTGTGTCTTTTATTATTCCCCATATTCTTAAAGCACTCGAATATTTTTCACTGTTTTCACGTTTTCACTTATTTTTAAAATAACCGAAAAAAACGTCTTATAGGCGCGGTACGACGAACTAGAATGAAGATAAATCAAGTTCGGGAAGTGATAAAGAAATACCGGTGACTAATAAACAAAAAACTTGTATTTCTTTAAACGTCGTAGGCAAGGTATAGCGCGCTAGGACTACAGGGTGTTTATAATCTGAGACGAGACTGCGAAATATAATTTTCATTATAGGTAGGAGCTTCTTTGCGCAGGTCATTCAATTGCCTGAGCCGATTCGCCTCGATTTTAAGTGTGTTGGTGTACCAAGTATTTGATATTGTTGATTTCTGAATATTTGTACCAGCAGGAATCTTCGGAAAAGATGATTCGAATGCATAAGAGAAGTGGTCCCAAAATGATTCAAAACATTCATTTATTGTTGGAAGGTTGAGATCCGTCAGGATCAGATTTGACATAGTATATTCGAATTGACTAATATTTAAGTCAGTAAATTTCCTTTTGAAGCTATAGGAAATTTTCGAATTGCGCTTTTCTGCAGGAATTGAGAACTGAATAATCTGTGCCATATGATCCGATAAACATGGATCAACAATTTCAAATTTTATGTTATCTCTTGAGTTCGTTATTATATAATCGATCGCGGTGACGCTTTTGATATTACCTCTACATGCAATTCGTGTAGGAGTAGTGACGAGGGAATCGAGATCATGACATTCCAATATATCACAGAGAATTTTCTTGGGCATACTCTGTTCTAAATAATTTATATTCAAGTCTCCACAAATCAGAATGTTTTTGAACGAGTCAATTAGAATTCCAAGAATCTTGCAGAACTGAATGAAAAATAAATCCAAGTCACTATTTGGTGATCTATATATAACAGCAATACACGTATTTTTGTCGAATGAAATCGCAGAGCATTCGATAATTTGTTCAATAGAACAGCTTTTAATTGAGGGAATATCTCTGCAATCGATGATATGTTCTGTTCTGGAGTATATTACCACTCCACCATGACACTTTTTCATTCGACAATAGCTAGTAACTGCTTGATAGCCGCTGATTTTAATGTTATCGATATTTTCATAAGTTTGCCAATGTTCAGAAAGTAATAGGAAATCAGGATTATAATTCTCCAAAAATACATCCAGTTCATTTGATTTGTTAAAAATACTTTGGATGTTTAGATGAATAACCACAACAGAGTGTTTGTTATCCAAGCAAACTTGCTTCAGTTCAAAGCCTATATTGTCTCCTTCTCCTGCGGGGTTGATTTCATAAAATTTGAATTATTTCTGAACTGGTATCTATTTATCATGGCACCTTCTGGCCAGATTTTAGGGTTGTAAACTTCACGCACAAAATTTATTGGGAATGACACTATCATGGAACATGTTTTCTCATTTTTGTTTAGTTGTTCACACACAAATGGAATTTCTGGAGCTGTTTCAGAAAGGACTTTAGATAGTTGATCAGGGGAAGTCTCCGGGGACAGCCTGTATACATGCAGATGTCCTAGTTTTGGTATCGTCTTTACAGACGATACGTTTTTGTTAGTTCCAACAACTGGTTTCCTTATATTTCTAGAATATTGGCTGTTCGTTGTATTGTTTTTATACTGTACCGATTCCATGGCCTTTTTTGTGGCATGATTCACTTCGTCTAGGTTGAATGTATGATGGTTTTTGTCATTCGAACTTCGATGATCTGTTTTGCTGGTTTTGTTTTTGTAGCTGACTAGATTCCAATCAGATGAATCCTTCGTTTTTGAAACTGTTGTAGAAGGCGAAATTAGTGTCGGAGGTAGTATTTTTGGTGATACGGAACCTTTATCTATAACAGAGGTTTGTTTTGATTCCCTCGTGTTAGATGGTGCTGTTGGATTCGCCAATTTGGTACTGAATGCATTATGTGGATGCATGTTCCGACTATCCTGTTTCAGCAGGGTTATGATGCATTCTAAATCAGAGATCCGTTTTTCCAGTATAGTAACTTTGTCTTGTAGATAGATGTTTTCACTAGTTATCTTATCCTTTTGGTAGAACACTCTGATACACTGGCGATTTTCGCAATTCTCACTAAGTTCATTATTTGTATTCGAATGATGTGGGCGATGTTTAATGAATTTGCACAGTACATCACTATCCACACCGTCTGGTAACTTATTGTTCAAAATTAATTCAATTAAATCCGCTTTCCGCAATTTATCGAGCTCGCGATTGACCGACACGTCCACTCCGACGGCCATCGTATCTATCTTGGAGATAATATCCTTATACAAATCATCTTTATCATCATGCTGCCTGGACGATAGGAAATTACTCAGTTCTTCAGATAATAAACCAATTATTATCTGCTCTTTGATTTCCTGGAAGGTCAAATCCAATTCACCACATAAAGCTACCTTTTCATAAAAATATACAGAAACATTTTCCTTAGAGGTCTGCAATCTATCCTGCATTTTCTTCCATATCTCAGTTTCACTTCCTTCAAATATAAAGGATTTTGTAAAGGCAACTTTGAAAGTATTTCAATCAGTAATTTCAGTTCTTCTACTATTCAACCAAAATTTTGCAGCTTCCATAAGATTACTGATAGCCATTTGATAGGTGAACGATCCTGGCCAATTATGTAGTGCAGCAGAAGTTTCAAGATGTTGCAGCCAATGCCTAGCCATAGAGGGGCCCTTTTCTCCATCGAATTAATCAACAGTTTTTGATCTATCTTGGAGATAATATCCTTATACAAATCATCTTTATCATCATGCTGCCTGGACGATAGGAAATTACTCAGTTCTTCAGATAATAAACCAATTATTATCTGCTCTTTGATTTCCTGGAAGGTCAAATCCAATTCACCACATAAAGCTACCTTTTCATAAAAATATACAGAAACATTTTCCTTAGAGGTCTGCAATCTATCCTGCATTTTCTTCCATATCTCAGTTTTACTTCCTTCAAATATAAAGGATTTTGTAAAGGCAACTTTGAAAGTATTTCAATCAGTAATTTCAGTTCTTCTACTATTCAACCAAAATTTTGCAGCTTCCATAAGATTACTGATAGCCATTTGATAGGTGAACGATCCTGGCCAATTATGTAGTGCAGCAGAAGTTTCAAGATGTTGCAGCCAATGCCTAGCCATAGAGGGGCCCTTTTCTCCATCGAATTAATCAACAGTTTTTGATCTATCTTGGAGATAATATCCTTATACAAATCATCTTTATCATCATGCTGCCTGGACGATAGGAAATTACTCAGTTCTTCAGATAATAAACCAATTATTATCTGCTCTTTGATTTCCTGGAAGGTCAAATCCAATTCACCACATAAAGCTACCTTTTCATAAAAATATACAGAAACATTTTCCTTAGAGGTCTGCAATCTATCCTGCATTTTCTTCCATATCTCAGTTTTACTTCCTTCAAATATAAAGGATTTTGTAAAGGCAACTTTGAAAGTATTTCAATCAGTAATTTCAGTTCTTCTACTATTCAACCAAAATTTTGCAGCTTCCATAAGATTACTGATAGCCATTTGATAGGTGAACGATCCTGGCCAATTATGTAGTGCAGCAGAAGTTTCAAGATGTTGCAGCCAATGCCTAGCCATAGAGGGGCCCTTTTCTCCATCGAATTAATCAACAGTTTTCGATAAATCTGGCATTATATTGAAGTTAGTGATATCTTTCACACCTGCGTTCCTATTATTCAATTGTAACATCCGAAGTATCTCTGTATTCTGTTGTAACAGAACTGTTACAGTATTCATAAATTGCACTGTAACATCTGGTTGAAGTGGTTGTGATAAGGTCACCGGCGGTTGCCGAACATGTGGGACATGTCGTGCAGCAACTTTTATAACTCGTCTAGAGTTTGTTTTTTTAAAAAAACATTTATTTTTCGATACAAAGGTAGACACAAGTTGATTTGATGTGAACAGTACAAATATTCAGCCAAGACTGAGCTACGTGAGAAATGAATTATAAAATGTGAAATAAAAGTTGCTGATTCAATTCTTGGAATTTGTCTCGCCTCTGGTGAGAACGCCTCGAAGTGCTGAGTTGCGGAATCGATGATGTAGCCTATTTCCCATGGGTTCCCTGGGAATATGGAATATAACTCCTCCCATCCCAGAAAGATCCATACAAGGGGTGGATCGATCATTCGTCGTCGTCTTCGGTACTTGGACAGGGTTGAAGTCTTCTGGCGGTTGGTCTTGGGTTTTCGGGTACCCTAGTTGCTGTCTCCTGGGGTGCCGCAGTCTCCGGTACCGAACGTCTCGTCCAGTATAGGTATATCAGGCCAATAATCGATATAGCTGCGAATAGGAGGTAGATGGGTGTGGCCCAAATATAGGATGCATCTTGTTTCGTGTTCTTCAGGGTGACCTGATGGATCTTCTGCTGTTCCTTTTGTATTTGATGTATTTGATCTAAGGGTTTATCATGTAGGACGAATTCTTGTAGGTGCGTACTAGATGTCTTGGTGGAAATTCTTACGGAGGGTAGTAGTAAGGGTTGTCCCTTGATAGTGTCCTCGTTGTTCGTATAGGAGTCTCGTGACGTGTGGAAACTGCATCCAGATGGAACCTCGATGAAGTAGGGTCCTTTGAGAATTGTCAAATCAGTTTTGTGACATTCGGTCTTGATTTTCGTGTCGTCCCGAAATATGGCTATGTAGTGGGCGGTGTTAATTTGTTCGATGATTTCGCCTTTGATCAAGACAGGGACTGGCTCGCAGGAAGTCGGTTCTTTCGCTTTTAATTGTAGGAGTTGGTATATACAGTCCTTTTGATTGGAGTGCTGTTGAAGTATTCCAGTACTACAGTAATACATTGGATGTGTATTTCTGCATTCGGTGTCTTGATACTGATAGAAGTTTTCGTTCATTGCCAGAAAAGTTTTGGTTGGGATCAGAATAGTATTGGTTTTGGTAGGAATCGAATATAGATGGAAGTATGAATAGGTCTCGGGAAACATTATAGGAAAGTGAAAAATAAAGACTATTTTATCGTTTGATTGATATGATTCGATTTCCAAAATTTCGTAATATTTGTGTAAAGTAGTATTATCGTTTCCAAATAAGAGTTGGTTCGGTTGATGATGGCGTAAGAGTGTTTGTATTATAAATTCCAAATCTTCGATTTTCAAGTTGCTAGCATGAACAATTTTCAATCTTGCAAAAGTGATAGAATTTTCCAAACCATTAAGTATTTGTAATAGGATGTTCAATATTGCTGCCAATTGATCTAAGGCAATCTTCGCAGAGATGTAACTATTGAAGTCAAATAACAATTTGTCTAGCTCTTTATCGAGTTCGTTAATTTTATGTGACATTTGCTGTTCGTTTTGTTTGATCAACGTCAAAGATTTCTCGTAATCATTCATGACCTTTTTAGTTAATGAGATTTGTTTGTTCAAACGCTTTGTGGTAGGAGCCCCACTGGAACACAAAAACATATTATATGAACCCAGCTTCTGGCCTAGCAGAGTTGGCATCAAGAGGTTCAACTTCCAGAAACACCCTGATATCTTCAAAAATGGAGGGGATTTTTGATGAATATCCAACAAGAGCACACCAACAAAAATGAAAGCACAGGTAAAGTCAGGTTGATGCACCTGAATTTGAGAAGTCTCAAGTGCAAAGTACCAGAACTAGAAGTATTACTAGCTGAACAACATTCAGACATCTTCTGTATGACAGAACATTGGTGCAAAGGAGAGGAAGTAAAGAAAATAAATATACAAGGATACATTCATAACAGCAGCTATTGTCGAAAAGAAAATCGAGGTGGAGGAACAGCCATATATGGCAAAAATGGATTTCAAATTAGTTCACTTACTAGTACAGGAAGTCAAATTGAAAAAGATTTTGAATATACTTTTTCCAAATTTTATATTCATGAATTTGTTTGTATTATATTGTGTTTTTATAGGTCACCAACAGGAAGCATTGAACTCTTTATAGACAAACTGACTGAAGTTCTAGACTTCTACAGCAGCCGTGGCAAGTATTTAATAATATGTGGAGACTTCAATATCAATTTCCAACAAAAATATGGTGATACGCTAACACTATTGCAAGTATTTTCTTCTTATTGTCTAAGCCCTCATGTATTTGATGTTACTAGGCAAAACGATGCATCCAGGGGTACACAAATTGATAACATATTCAGTAACTTACCTGAAGGAACATACAATTGTTTTGTATTACGCTCAACAATATCAGATCACTACAGTCAAATATTAGAGCTTGAATATAATGTGGCACCTCATGAAAATATTGGGAAAAAACGTTATTTCACTGAAAGAAACATATTGCAATTCAAACACTCTCTATCTACTGAATCATGGGATGCAGTATATAATACGAAAGAAATAAACTCTAAGTACAAAGCATTTCATCAAATTCTTTTTTATCACTTTGATACAGCTTTTCCTGAGAAGAAATTCAAAATGAAAAATAAGGAATCTAACTGGGTTACAAATGATATCAAAAATTACTCACACTATATCAGTGATTTACATAAGTTATGTATGGAAACAAAATGTGAAGATATACTGATCAAATATAAACAGGAAAGAAAGGCTTACAGGAAATATCTATCAGATTATAAAAAATCATTGAATGATAGTAAAATATCTACATCACATAACAAATCAAAAACAGTATGGAGCATATTCAACAATGCTAAGAACAAAATCATACAAAAAAGTGAATCCATAATCCTTATAGATGACAATAAAGAATGTATTACAAACCAAACAGAAATTGCTGAACTTTTTAGCAATTTTTTTACTCAACCAAAAAACACTCAAAATGCAAAAGACAGCAAAGTTGCTCACAACAGCACCACAATATTCCTGCTCCCAGCTAGTCGAACTGAAATTTTCAATATTTTGAATGAGATGCAACCAAAATATTCATGTGGCATATACAATATTCCACCTGCTATACTGAAAAAAATTAGTGAATACATTTGTGATCCCCTGAGGGACATGATTAATGAAAGCCTATCAACTGGCATATTTCCAGATGAATTAAAAATAGCAAAAGTCATACCAATTCACAAAAAAGGATCAAAAAGTAACATAAACAATTACAGGCCAATCTCATTACTCCCTTCACCATCGAAGGTCTTTGAGAGAGCAATATACAATAGGCTTATATCATTTCTTAAATTGAATAACATACTAACAGCGCAGCAATTTGGCTTTAGACAAGGCATGTCCACAGAGTTAGCAATATTTAATGCAATCAAATATATCACTGAGAATGTTGAAAAAATGACAAACCCGGCAGGTTTGTATTTTGACCTCTCAAAGGCCTTTGATACAGTGGATCACTCAAAACTACTGAATAAACTGGATTGTTATGGTATTAGAGGCGTTGGATACAAACTCATTGAGTCATATCTGTCAAATCGGGTACAGGTGGTATCTGTTTCAGATGGAAAAGAA